TGCAAGGAGAATTATTTTAGACGGAAAAAGGAGTCGGGGAAAAGGATTGAAAATAAGTGATGAGAGTTTAAAGATTGCAGTCATAGGTAATAGATAGCAGAACTGCAAACGCGATGCGCAAAGTAAGCACATGCACACAGTCAACAGCACACTGGACATAGCCCAAGTGCTGCAAAATGATCAACAATCAACATCTTAATTATGAAAGAAGACCCACGTTAAATCGTGGTCGTGCGTGTTCCACAAAGATGAGGATGAGTGTTGAGAACACAACCAAACCACTACCATCCCCCCGCAACACCTCCACGATTGCCTGGCTTTCCCTGGTTGTGTCGAACGCCAAACGGCGAAGAGGATTAGCTACTCCTTCATCCTACTATTTATGTCGTACGTCACTCACAAAGGCCCATCCCGTCCTCCTTCTACAAGCGGACATCTACTCCAGTCTTCAATAGGTCCCTAGTTCGAGGATTCAAAACCGATTCGGGTCGGCGCCCTACAACGGTCGAAGTTACTTCGAGCAACAGTACGGGAACGTACTGGTATTCGCCCGATAAAACACTCTCCTCAACCATGTAGAGATCCCTGGTTCGAACCTAAGAAACCTCAAAACTATGAAACACCCGCGGACGCGTCCGCGGGGCCGAACTCGGAGGGCGGACGTATTCACAGCCGCCTACGCGGCCTACCGGGTCCGCGCCGCGGACCCGATTTTACCAGATTTTTCCTGAATTAAATAATAGGCAAAAAAAAAAAAAAAAAGCGGTTGTAGGGAATTTTAAGCCCTACAACCCCATATTTTATTTTTTTGAATCCGACTTTGTTTAGGATTTTTTTTAAATAAAAAACAAAATTCGATTTGAAGAAAAAAAATATATATATATAAAGAAAAGCTGATTTTTTTTTTTTTTCATTTTTTATCATCAGATATATGGTCCCTGAGTTCACCTGTATTTTCTAGAAATGAATTTCTGTTTTTTGCAGGGGTATGAGGTGTTCTAGAAAAATAAAGATGCAAAATTTGAAAATAAATAAACAAAGAACTTGAAAAAAACAGGTTTAATTGATTGATTGATTGATTGATTGATTGATTGTGAGTGTGTGTGTGTGTGTGTGTGTGTGTGTGTGTGTGTGTGTGTGTGTGTGTGCGCGCCGGGAAAAGTTGCGCGGCGCGGGGAGGTGCATGGAAGCTGCGCGCGCGCGCGCATGCGAGAGAGAGAGAGAGAGAGAGAGGTGTGTGTGTGTGTGTGCGCGCCGGGGAGCTGCGCGGCAGCGTGCGGGTGGTTGCGCCGGGGAGCTGCGCGGAGCTGCTGCGCGGGTGTGTGCGCGTGGCAGCGTGCGGGAGCTGCTGCGCGGGGAGCGGCGCGCGCGCGCGCGAGAGAGAGAGAGAGAGAGAGAGGTGTGCGCACACGCGCACGATTGGTGGCGGGGGGTGGGGCGACCCCTCCCCCACGAATCAATCAATCAATCAATCAATCAATCAATCAATCGAGGGGAGGGGGCGACCCCTCCCCCACCAGTCAATCAATCAATCAATCAATCAATCCACGGAAAAAAAAAATCTATAAAACTGATCAATCAATCAATCAATCAATCAATCAATCAATCAATCTGTTGCAATAGAATCCCACATGCTCTCGTGAAGCAAAATTCCAACTCAAAAGATACAAACGATACAATGTAACTACAGGACAGAAAAACAAAACCCTCCAAACTTTTACTCTTGCTCAACCGTGGAGCTCTACCTCTCTTATGCACAAAAATCCAGCTGAATCCCTTCTCACACAACCCACTCGACTACCGACCTTATAGTCGCATGCGGAAGGCGACTGAACATATCTTTAATGTCAAATGACGCCTCCACGATCTGCACCTTCTTCCTACTCCTTCCCAATCTGTTGCTGATTCCCTTCATTCTGTCCTTCATATCTACCACCGATCTCAAGTTGAAATGCCCTGATTCTGGTAAAGCGAAGAACAGACCATTTATGCCCTTCACAACCATCTTGCATGCTTTAACCGCAGGTTCTTTGAACGTAGGACAGATAGGGCGATACTTATCTGTATCTTTGTGCTTCGGCAAGGCGTAAGCCTTCCCTACTTTTCCCCTTGCGTTCCGCTTCCCGTGTGCATGCAGATTACTTCTTTCATATTCTAGTCGTGCCGAAGTCAAAAGTTGCCTCTCCTCCTCAATGCAAACTCGGTAGCCATCACTCAGGAGAAAGGTCTCTTGACTCTCCTCCATGCCCTTATCATACAACAAAGGGCACAGCACTAACATGTCACCCGGATTACGGTCCAAGGGTGCCAGGACCAAACCGTTCAGTTTTTCCTTCACACGCAGGACTTCCTCCATCCCATTTGTATACACTTGGTTCGTCCTCTTCACAAAGCGACACTGCAGTTCCTCCCTTGTGAAGTTAACTGCGGATTCAGTCAATTTCATGTTTTAACTTACCACCCCAGTTCTGAAAAGCTTCGTTCAGTTCTCTTTCCAACAAAACATCCCAGTGCTCGACATCATGTCGAGGCATGTTCTTCACATTCCTAACGATCGATGTGATCCCCTCCAGCTCACCGATCCGGAAATGCACGTGCCCATTTTTTTTAGGATAGGGTAAACCAGCACAAACGTAGCTGGATGCACGTCTCGACCCCCAATGTCGATGGCTATGGAGAATTTTACCCACGTTCGGGCCTTTCTTCCACACAATCCGTGCACGACACTTTATAATTTCCTTCAATGGAGCCTCCATCTTCCAACTACCAACCTTTCGCCTTACAACCCTCATTACCTCGCTCTTTTTAATTCTCTCATCGTACTGTGTCTTCACAATGATCCTAGTCCTAACATTGAAACCAAACTTGGCTCGCACAACCTTAGAAATCATACAACGCGCCTTAGTTCTGTTTTTCTTGGTAGTGAAAGTCTTAACAGCACTATAGTTCGGTCAGAGACTTCGTGTGGAGTTCTTTCCGCTTGCACTGGTTTTTAAACATCCGTACCATATCCTCTTTCAAAGCAAGCAGAGTTGGGGAGGCTTCGGTCACTTTACACATCACAACGAACCCCTCCTCCTCAAAAAACTTCTTACACTTCCGGAGTAGTTTAGTTCCACGTCCGGATTCCACTCTTGTTTCCCCAAACAAACGTCGAACCATAGTCAGAAGCGGGCCTTTACTGGAATGAGGTCTGTAGATGATGTTTCTGTTTTCACTGCATACAACCCAAAGAAAGCAAGGGATAAGACAAAGGCTCTACAGACACTGATCTGGTTCGAGAATTGCTATGATAAAGCACTTACTCTCAAACGGACAGACGAGGGGAGACAGAGCTGGATCTTCCTAGGATGCAGAGTGACAGTCGGGAAGAGACCTCCTTTCCTTGACATAGTACAGGTGTTGAAAAATGAGAAAGAACTGAGGGAAGGGGGAAGTCTACCTTTCCGAACCTTTTAGGATTTCGAGTCATGGTCGAGTAAGAGCGCAAAAATGACAGTGGTTATTAGTGCTTTGCATCGTATTGACCAGAATTCATGCATGGGTTGTGAGTTGCTCCACACAGTGATCTGCTGAAATCCGAGCTGAGAAGATGCAATTTCCCGAGCCATTGGTTCAGAAGAATTCTACGGAGCTTTAGCCGGGATAAGAGTCCGGCCTAGAGAACGATCTCGCTATTATTTAGGGAGAAACATGGTTGGTAGATTAGCGTTTTGACTAAATACTAGCTTGGTTGCATGTGTGTCGATTTTAGTAGTTGGACTTTTGACAACATGTTTGTTTGTATGGTTCTATGGAACCTTGGGTTATATGAACCGTTTGTTTGGTTTATGTGGACCAGGGACCGCCCGTGGTGGTATCGGTACCGTTCAGGACTGACAGGGTGCGTACCCCTGAGATAAGTACTATTGACTTTGGAAGGTACCCGTGCTCCTGGCCTGTACTTTTGGATTTTTTGGTGGACTAATTTGAGGCTATGAATCCCCCTCGGCGGCGGCCAGTCCGTCGACCCCGCGGACGCGCGGCTTTGAAGCCACGTCGTGGCCGTGGGGGAACGACTTTGGGAAATCGGGAGACGCCACGGGGCGGCGCATCCCCGGCCCCMCCCCCCCACAAAAAAAAAAAAAAACGAAAAAGATACGTAGCCCCACCGTTACTCCAAACTTTCACCTCACCCTTCCTTCGTTTCAGGCTGCGCAACAGATCCAAGACTTTCACCGTACTACACTCCGTTCCATCAAGTCGTAGTGTCAATAATCTTTCCGAGTCGGATTTAAATTCTTGAGTCCATCCAGCAACCAACCACTTTCTTCGCTCTTTCTTCCCTGGTCTACGTTTAGATTTCTTCGTTCATTTCCTCGACGTCACCGATCGAACGTTCAACGAAGGTGACCAATGCTTAATTAGAGTGGCTTCCACCGCCTCCAATTCCGTTCGATCTGAGCTAGTGAAAATCAGAAGAGCAACATACTTGTGCGCACCAACTTCCCCTAGCCAGTTGTATAACGACCTACCTCGTTTCCCAGGTCAATGTCCCAGGCAGAAGTGTTCACGCCACCTCGCCCACAAACCCCGCTCGGTCAACCCGATATAAACCGGTTTAAACCAAGGAGAAATCAGGACATATACACAACTTCTAGAGGCCGACAGGTCAAAGGTCCCCTTATCCAGCTCATCCCTCCAATAGTTCAAAAACTTCTCACCCCATTTCACCTCACCGCACGAAATCAACCCGATGGTAACAGCTCTAAGCTCTCGTTCCTCTTCTTTACACTTACCATGATTTAACAATCTTCGTTCGCTTAAAAGCTCAGCTCTAATTCGAAAGTCGTCGCGACGACTGGGTCCTCACTCTCAATCCTCAGAAAAGGATTCGTCATAATCCGAGGTAGTTGGTTTCTCCTCCTCCTTGTTGACTACCCTTTTACTCGAACGTGTAGTGACGCGAGGTGTCCGCGGTAAAGGAATTGTCGAAGGATCGTATGCGAGTGCCGATCTCCTCGTAATTAGACGTTTGATTGCCAAGTCCCGATAGCCATATGCCACCTTCTCACGACGACATGCCTCTTTCAATTCGTCGATAGTTAAAAAAATAATAAAAATTGTGGCAATCCTGCTCGAATCTCTCCTGCCCCCCAGGTCCACAGGATGCCATAATATGCTTTAGAGACAGGTCAATCTTTGTTGGCATGCTCGACATCCCAACTTCCTTTGTTTGGTCGCTCTTTAGCAGCTCAATTTGAGTTTTCACTTCTTCTGAAAGTCTGATGCTCGCCTTCTTCTCCAGAGTAACCATCGGTGGGCTGTTCCCCACCGGTATATCCGGACCTCGTTTCCTCTTTTCCAGAAGATCCAATTGAGCCGCTTGTCTACGAAGTGCCGCCAACTCCTCGTCCTCCGTCTCCTCCATCCCAATCGTTCGCTGCGCAATACTTCGCCGCAGTCCTTCCTTCTCTTCGTATAAAGGGTTTGTCCGACTGACCGATTTTGCAGGTTTTTTGCCTTTGAAATCGTCCCTGTCAGAGTCACCTTCGCGATCTTTCTTGAATTCACTACGTAGAATCCGCATAAGCCTAACATCACGTTCCGCTTCATGCCTAAGCCTTTGCTCTTCCCTAAGTCCCCTCCTAGCTTCTTTCGCTCGACGAGCATCATCCTCCGCTCGTCTCCTCTTCTCCTCTCGTTCGCGCTCAACCCGTTCACGCCGCTCCGTGACCATTTGAACAAAGTAATCCCGTATTAGCGCATTCGTCTCATCCATACTGACACTGCGCTCACTCCCGTTATCAGTCGACCGACTTCTACGAGCTGGCTGATTATCGCCTCCCGACGTTGACCGCCACCTTCTTGCTTGTCCAGTAGGAAGAGCCTATGTAGACCCCCGTACGAATACGGGCCGTACGTACGACCTTATGTACGGGCTTATATGGTAGTATGGGGCGTGCGTACGAAAAAAAAGCAAAAAATAAAATAAAAAAAAATCTGGGAAAAACATATGTTATGCAAAAATATAAACTGAAACACTTCTGCCTCAGGGTCATACTGAAATTCGTTACCGAATTTAAGATAAAAAAACAAAACGATTCTATTTTTATTTTATTTTTTCTTCGTACGGGGCTGTATATACGGTCGTAAGGCCATTCATACGGCCGTACATACGACCGTACGATAAGCCCCCCGTACGTCGTACGGAGTGTTACATGGGGAAGAGCAGATGGAACAAACACTCTCCCCTGTGCTTTTGCTCGTCAATAATCAGCATAATGATCGCGTATGAAGTGCCCACCTTCCCCACATTTGTAGCACTTTCGGCCATTGGGTGGCAACCTGGTGAACCCGCCACCACCGTCATTACCCCTTCTCGTATTGCCTTCTTCACTCATTGTCTACGATACCAATATCCGCACAACTGGATACCACAAGCTCACCAGATCGTCCTTAGACTCGCTCTCTTGCTCAGTGTAAATTAGCTGCCACCTCCACTAGGTACAATCGCCTAGATGGTTACGATCCTAGGTTGTAGGATAGCAGAACTGCAAACGCGATGCGTAAAGTAAGCACATGCACACAGTCAACAACACACGTTAAATCATGGTCGTGCGTAAAGTAACCCAAACGCTACAAAATGATCAACAATCAACATCTTAATTATGAAAGAAGACCCACGTTAAATCATGGTCGTGCGTGCTCCACAAAGATGAGGATGAGTGTTAGGAACACAACCAAACCACACCATCCCCCCGCCACACCTCCGCCCCTGCCTCGCTTTCCCTCGTTGTGTCCAACGCCAAACGACGAAAAGGATTAGTTACTCCTTCATCCTACTATTTATGTCGTACGCCACTCACAAAGGCCCATCCTGTCCTTCTTCTACAAGCGGACATCTACTCCACTCTTCAATAGGTCCCTAGCTCGAGGATTCAAAACCGATTCAGGTCGGTGCCCTACAGCGACCAAAGTTACTTCGAGCAGCAGTACAGAAAAGTACTGGTACTCGCCCGATAAAACACTCTAGTCAACCAAACAGAGATCCCTGGTTCAAACCTAAGAAACCTCAAAATAGACCACGAAGAAATCCAAAAGTACAGCCCAGGAGTACAGGTACCTTCTAGAGTCAATAGTACTTATCTCAGGTACTGGTACGTACCCTGCCAATCCAGAACGGTACCGATACCACCAGGGGCGGTCCCTGGTCCACATACGTAATAAAGCTATAGTTTCGACGACCCTATCCAAAAAATGATCCATTGAGATCTGTCTATGAATCCCCCCCGGAGGCGGCCATGCGCGGCCTAGGCCGCGGCCCCACGGCCATGGTCACGGTCTGCGGCCATGAAAAAAAAAAAAAAAAAAAAATCTGAAAATTTTCAAAACTTTTCAAAAAAATATGTTATGTAGAAAAATATATTGAACAACTTTTGCCTTGTGGTCATATCCAAAAACTTTACTGAATTGAAAATAAAAAACCACATAAGTTTCAAAGTTTTTTGAACTTTTTCATGGGAAAATATATATATATAGTTTTTGCCTCCGGAAAATTAGTTTTTGAATTTTTCAAATTTGAAGGCGAAGTCAAAAAATAAAATACAAAATTGCGCAATTTAGATCTCAAAATGATCTACAACCCCATATTTTTTTTATTTTTTTAAGAATTTTTTAAAGTCTAAACAATTATTGAAAGTCGCGGCCGCAGCCGCGACGACCATGATCACGGCCGCCATCCGAGCTCGACTTTGCGAACGGGTCCGCGAGTGTTTCATAGCGATTTGCGAGAAGATGACACACATAAAACGGGGGAGGGAAAAACAAAACATCCTTATTAACTTAGGATTGTAATTTTTATTTCCTTTATGTCCGCCCTCGTTTTTTTTCTTCTCCTTTTTTTATTTTTTTATTTTTTTTAAATTGCAGTAATAGTATGTGTGAGTCTTGAAAAATATTGCGATACCGACGAATAGAGCAAAACTCCCTTTCTTTTTCCTTCGTATCCTCTTTCTCTTTCTTCCCCTTTTCTCCGTTGTTTTTTTTTTTTTTTTTTGAAATACTTTAGAGGTTCTACAAAAGCTTATTTTTTCGCATTGGTGATAATATTTTTTGATTCCCTTCTCCCTTTTTTCGTCCTGCCCTTCTTCCTTTCTTTTCCTCCCTCTTCTTCCCTTCTTTTCCTTTCCTTCCTGTTTCCCTCCCCCTTTTCTCTCTTTCTTCTCCTTTTTTTTTTTTTTTTTGGGATATTATCAAAAAGTCATCCTTTCTCCTTGAGTAAGGAAAATGGGTGAAAAAAAATGTTTTATAAAGGACAGCATGCACAATCATTGGTCGAGAGAATTCGAGATGTATTGTCTTTGTCATTGACTGAAACTGATTGGTAAATTGATCGATTGATCAATCGAGTCTGTTGATTGGTTAACCTGATGAAATAAATGGTCACCCAATCTAACAAAACAGTTGATCAATCATTTACTTCGTTGTGAGTTTTTCATAGGGAAACCTTTAAGGCAGGCGCAGAGATACCAATTTGTTTCTTATTATCCCCTTGCTTTATAAACTTCCCTTGCTTTTAGCCAAGGTTTTCTTCCTTTCAGTCCTTCCTCTTTCGTATCTTGTGCTGTTATCGTCGACCTTCCCCCCTTCCTTCGGTCCCCCCTTTTTTTTTTTTTTTTTTTTAAATAGTTTCAAATTAGTAAACAAGCACGAAAAAAGTTTGCTTGCGAAGTTGATTTACTTACCTACTTTTTCGCAAGGCAAGATAAAAGAAATAAACAAAAAAATTCATGCATCCTCCTCCTTCACTTTCACTCCTTTTTTTCTTTTTTTTTTTTGCGAAAGATTTTTAGTATAGGATGAGTTATATGAGGCTGGATGATCAAATGATTGATTAGTCGGTCGGTCAATCAGTTGCCTTCTTTGGTTGATTGATTAACCGATTAATCAAAGGAATGGTCAAACACTCGACTGGTTAGCTGCACCTTTATAAGTAATTCCTAAAAGAACCAAGGAATTTTTTTTATTTTTTTTTTTTTTTTTTTGGATGACAAAGACCCAACAGCGTGGTGCAAGAATAGGTTCTTAGTGCTAACAAGAAGAGAGAGAAAAAAAAAAAAAAAAAAAAAAAAAAAAAAAAAAAAAAAAAAAAAAAACAGAGTGATGCAAGGATCGATCATTCAGTTCATTGGTTGCTTGGAGCCTCTCCCTTCCTTCTTTTTTGTTTTCCCCCTGGTTTTTTTTTTTTTTTTTTTTTTACAGGGTGATTATTTGGTCAATGAATCTATTGCAACGGAAAAGATACTTGATCAAGGAATTATCGAGCCATCGATTAACCGACATGCCGATAATAGGAGAAGCAAGTGAGAAGGACCCTTGGATTTATCCCCCCCCCTTCCTCATTTTTTCTTTTCTTTTTTGAGCTGATACCAAGCAATCGAGCGAGAAACAATGACGTAGGGTATGCTTGAATTAGAGTGGGATTTGCGACCCTACAATTGATTGGTTGTTTGATTGACTTGGTTGATCGTAAAAAAATGATGAATAAATGGTCGGTCAATCCAAAAAACAATCGACCAATCAAGTAGTAGGTCAATCAATTAGTTCATTATGAACGCAATCAAGAGATTGATTAGTGACTTGATTATACGGGTTGTTCGATCCATTGGTCAACCAATCCCTCAGTCGATTTGATTGAATGAGCTGCCAATCGATTAGGACGACTCCCTTTTTAGTCTTTTTTTTTTTTTATCGATCTGTTAAACACACAACTAATCGCATGACTAATCGGGCGATGGTAAAAGGTTTACTGATATAGGTTTAAAAGATAGTGAACGGGCTAGTGATGCACGTAACATCCTTCGGAACTACGCAATAAAAGAAGTCCCTTGGTGATTTAGCGTATTCATTTATCGGTTGTTTCACCGTTCAGGGCGAAATGATTAGATGGTCTGTTATTGACGAATAGGTCGGCTGATTCGTCAAAACTACTTGATTGACCTATTGGTCAAGCGATTAATCGATTGATCAACCCAATCATTAGTCTCATGAAAGACCCTTCATTCAATCGATTGTTGCCTTAGGCTAAGAGTGAAATGATGAATTGGTTAATCCATTGAGTGATTGGTCTCTCCATTGGGCAATTGGATGGTCCATCAATCAAACTGATTGGTTGATCCATCATATTGCTTGATTGACCGATCTAATATTATTGTTCTCATTGATGGGTCGGCCATTAAGTGAGTGATCAAAAAGGTTGAAAGTGCTCGAGAGATTGAGTACTTGTCACTTAATTAGACAAATGATTAGTTGTGCGAATTGGTATCAATTAAATGCGCGACTTATCAGCTGACTCGTCAAGAGTAGTCGGTCGACCTATCGATCCAACGATTAATCGAGTGATCGATTAATCGATTGATCAACTAATGCATCAATCACGTGGTAGACCTATTCATTAATCAATTGCTTACAATAATCGGCGGAATGACGAGTTGGTCAATCTACTGGGTGATTGGTCTATCCGTTGGGTGATTGGTCAATCCATCAGTTGTTCGGTTGATCCATCCGTCTACTTGACGATCGATGAATCAAATGATCTGATCAACTATTCTAATACACTATTAATCGACCAGCCATTGATCGAGTGATAGGCCTAATCATCAAACGATTGCTGCACTGATCATCAGACGAGTAATCGAAAGGTCCTTATTCGCCCTTGCTTTTCTCTCCCTCTTTTTTTTTTTTTTTTTTATTAAGAGAGGGCCAAGTCGAATAATTTGAGCACCCAACAATGCAATACAGAGAGGGGGGTAAAAGTCCGGGTTATTTGAAAAAATGGTTGAGGTAAAAGAAAGTAGTCTTTCAATTCGACAATCAATCATTGTCATGGAATAAAGAT